TGGCTACCGCGTGGCCAATCTTGTTTAAACACAGACCAACCTGAGGGGTTCCGCCGAACTGTTTCCACAATCTGGCCTTTCCCTGTGGAACTCACTAACCCATGTCTACAGATGCGAGGAGAGAGATTTACAAAGCCTGGGATGGGCTGACTCTGCCAAGCCCACTGGCCGGCTCCTGCTCAAGGACTAGGAGTTGGGTTGGCAGGTGAGCCCACCCTCAGCTGTACATCGTGAGTTCAGAGCCCAGCCCCACCGACTGGCTCACCTTGTCCTCTCCTCCTGTGTGTTGATGACAGTGAAGGCCTTTAAACGCTCATTTCTCCGTGTACAGTATTTTTCATTTACTTGATTGGCTGGTTGATCGACGAGGTTTTGCTGTGCTACGTCCTCCTGCCTCAGCATCCAGGCTGGGGCCACAGGTGTGCACCCCGCACCTGGCTGTTTCTCAGAGCCTTGCTATGTCACCCAGGCCAGCCTAGAGCCCGAGGCCTCCTGCCTCAGCCTCTCCAAGCTGCTAGGATTATGGGCACAAGATGCTGTACCCAGGCGTTAGGCTGGACTGAGACTTGAACCCAGGCCTCCCATGTGGTCCCAGCCTGTGGATCAGTGTCTCCGCAGCATAGGCCACAGTGAGTGGGCCTTTGCTTATTTTGGGTATTATTATTATTCGTGACAGAGCATGCCTGAGCGCGAGTGAGAAAGATAGAGGTCCATTGACAGGTTTCGCCACACGGCCATACCCGTCCTCTAGCCTCCCAGCTCCTCAGGATCTTGAGTATTTGCACCCAAGCCCAGCGCATTGCACGTCCCTGGGCCAGGGGTCTGAACCAGGACCAGCCCTGTGGCTTCCAGCACTGCAGTCCGGTTGCCACCGGCTGTGCCTCTTAGGCTGGGCTCTTCACTGATTTTTGATCATAAACTTCGCAAAACACTTTCCTGCAGTGTGGAACAAGGTGGCCTTCTCTAATGCTGCTGCCAACAAGCACTGTCACATGAACCTCCACAGGACTTGTCACCGGCCCAAGTTGCCTTACCTGTTTACCTATATTAAAAGGAAACCTTCAGACAAATTTAATCTAGCGCAGTTTGAGCACGACATGATGTGTAAGTCGGCAGTCCCCAGAACGCTGGGATTGCCAGGTGGGCAGACACTATGCATGGATGGGAAAAGGAACATGACTCTGGGACCCATGAGGGAGGCAGAGAAACAGCTGGGTGGCTGCGGCGTGGTGTTAGCGACCTAAACGTGGTTTGGACGGTCAGCCAGCTCTGACCGGCGCAAGTATGGCTGTGACCCCGCGGCGGTAACAGACGTGTTCTTCTAAGTCAGGGTCTCAGTTCATTCACGTTCCAAGGGAGGCTGTGGCTCATACCCGAGGACCACGCGCACGGGTGAGTTTGGTTTAACCCTGCTCATTGTCAGCCCTACAGTGGTGTCCGAGAGAGTAGGGACTGTCCACCCTTCTCACTGCACCCAGACGGGACCACAGGAGGTGACTGACGAGTGGATGGATGACTCCCAAGTGCAACAGTCTTTAGGACCGGGGTGCAGATGTAACTAGGAGTCTTCTGCATTCCCACCCCCACCCCGCCACGTGCTGATCGGTGAGATTTCACCCAGTCAGGACAGACTCCGGGAGTCTGCAAATGCCCTGCTTCCCCTCACAAACAACGCCTCCTTATTTTTCTTCCCAAGTCTTTCCAGGCTGGGAATACGTCTTCTACCTGAGAACCAGAGGTAGCCTAAGAGTACGTTCTCTCCGTCTTGGGTCTCTGTCACTTTAGGAATGTTTGGGAAACATCTTTATTTCTCGTGCACCCCAGTTCACTTTCATTCCAGCAGAGAACAAAATCTTTCTATTTATTTTCCAAGTGACTTCCCATGGTTTAAAATGTCTCACCATGAAAAGTCAAGCAAGGAAAAGCGGATGAGTAAGAATCGCAGGGAATAGGAACAAGACAACGACCATTTTTACTGTTCCCTCTGACCTGGGATGGAAAGATGTGACCCTGGGAGCTGACCCTTCTCCAACCCACTGTCTCTGGAATGCGCTTGGCATGGCGCCGTGACAACGTGGCAGCTTGGCCGCGTGGCGCAGGACCGGACCCCAGTTGTTCTGGCTGCTCTATTGTCCACACCACTCTCAGAATAACCTCTTGGAAACCCAAAACCAAGAGTAAGTGCATCAGGGGCACTGGACTCCCACATGGCTAGTTGTGGTTCGAGTCCCAGACCTGGTGGCTTGCTTTCTCACTTTTTCTCTCTCTGATCAAATTAAAGTAAGTAAATAAATAAAGTTAAAAAAATATTTTTTTTTTTTAAAAGAGAGTAAGTACATCAGACTGTAGTCGGCAGGGTGTGCCCAAGTCACTCTAGTCAGCTGGTAGAAACAGCTCACCACACTGGACCCATGAACGAGACGAGAGTTTGGCTATTACCATTCTCTTAGAGGAACAAGAGAGAGAGTATGGCATAGCACACGGGTCTTTCCACAAGCTGTCGCCCGTACAGCTGTGGCGCTTCACTGACTCGCTCTGCCTTTACAGACGACCCCCTTCCTCTTTTTCAGAAAGAATGTGCTTCCAGTTACTCACCGTTGCCCACATGGGCTTCCTTTTTCCTGGTCTCCAGGAGACTGGGGGGTTAGGGTTACGCTGCTGAAAAGCACGGGCACCATTTACTCCTCATTGTTTGCTCCAGACCCTTCATTTATTTCCTTACTTGACTCCGCACAACTATCTTTTCTTTTTTAAGGTAGATCATGTCTTTCTTAGAGCTTTTCGCTTGCCCTGCAGCATCAGCACAAAACCCACATCTACTTTGTTTTTCTTTAGAGAGAGATTTTTGTTATCAGGTGTGTGCGCTTGCCAGAGAGACAGCGAGACAGCGAGAAATCACCCCCCAGGGAGGACGGCCACACCACAATCCCTTCTCCATTCTCCTCTTGGAATTTTGGGCACACACACATGCACACACGCCTAGCATGAGTTTTAAGCCGCGGGGTCCAGGACTTGAACTGCGGTCCACTTCATGGGAGTCCAGCGACATAACCATTATGTCATCTGCCGGTCCCCCTCACTATCTTTGAGGGTGAGGGAACATTATCTCCATTTCACGATGAGGAAGCCACAGTTTGGAAGGTATACTTGTTGCCCACGGCCACACCGCTAAGCCTCGGAACCTGGATTCTAATCCAAGGAGGTGTGGCCGGCCGCCCTCCCATTCCGGGACACCAGCTCAGGCCAGACGATGCTTCCAGCCACATGCTCACCAAGTGCCAGCAAGGCCTGGCCCCTCGGCTACGTTATTTTGTTTATTCTTCAAAAAACTATGAGCAAGGTAGGGAGATCAGCAGAGGGCGTAATGGTTACATCACTGGACTCCCACACAGTCAACTGCAGTTCGAGTCCCAGACCCAGTGGCTTAAAGCTAACTCTGGGTTCGTGTGCATGTGTGCCCAAAATCCCGAGAGGAGACTGGAGGAGAAGGGATTGTGGCGTGGCCATCCCCCCTGCGGGGTGATTTCTAGCTTTCTGTCTCTCCGTCTCTCCAGTGAACACACATGCCCCATAGCAAAAATCTCTCTCTCAAAAAGAAAAAGAAAAGGAAACCAGTTTACAAGGTGGTGCCGCTGTTCCCATTTCAACACAAGAAAGCAGCACAGACGGTCAGCAACTTGGTCACCGTCACAGAGCTGGCAGGGGCAGGACTGCCGTGTGGGCTGTGGCCCACTGCCCTCGGAGCTCCCACACAGAGCACCTGGAGGGGGCCTGCACCTGCCCACACTCCCTGCCCCAGCAATGGCGTGACAAGACGGAATCTGCCCTGGTTATGAGTAGACGTAACATCTGTCAGATAAGACTCTTCTGAGTCATACCCCTAGGTCCCAGTCCTTGCTGAGCTGAGTGTGTGCGTGTGTAAACACATCTAACAGGAAACTAAGTCTTACACATTGAAGGCCAGGGCTGGGATGCGGCAGGGCCATCCCCCTGGGGGTGATCTCTTTCTCTCTGGCAAGCACACATGCCCTACAGCAAATAAACAAATAAGTAAATAAATAAAAGAGGTTCTCAATGCAATGACTTTAATTTTTATATACTTTCAAACTTACAGAAAAACTACAAAAGCAGTGCCACAGACCTTTATTCACGCTGGCTGCTTATGAACACCCTGCCCTATTCGCTAGATTATCAACATAAGTTTATAAAAATGATTTATAGAAACAATCTGATAATGACATAATAAACGATCGATTTAAATCAAGTGATTTCAGTCAAGCTAACAGGAACACCACTTTGTGGCCAGGGTAGACACGTCCAAACCCAACGCCCAGCCCTTGGGTGGGAGAGCACACGGACTTGGCCAGACCGAGGCCATATGCAGCCACGGGTGATGGGCAATGTGAGGGCGCCCAAACCACCGACGCGACCACGGTCATCCAATTCCACGTGCGCTTAGTTTTCAGAGGAGGATCACCCTAAGGGCCTTTAAAAAGAGAAGTTGTTATTGTTCAAACAATATTTTAGAACAAAGTTCACAAACAAAATAAGACTCTGGGCCAGCAGGTGGCGTGGTGGTTAAGGCACTGGATTCCCACATGGCTGACTGCACAGTTTGAGTCCTGGACCTGGTGGCTTGAAAACCACACCGGGCGCATGTGTGCGTGTGCCTAAAAATCCCAGGAGTAGGATGGAGGAGAAGGGATTGTGGTATGGCCATCCCCCTGGGGGAGGGGGATGATCACTCGCCTTCTCTCTCTCTGTCTCTGTCTCCAGCAAGTGCATGCACCCTATGGGGGGCGGGGGAACAACCTTAGAGAACCAGAAAAGAAAAAAAAAAAAGAAAGAAAAACAAACCAACAAAAGTAATCAAATGCCATAACCAATCCCCTACACTGGCCGGGACAATCAATACGGTCACTACCAAGAAAGTTCTCTGGTGGACCTGAGCCTCCATTTCCTCTGGAAATAAAAAAATCTCTTCATTTTGATTTTGAGTATTTCTCAATGCTAATGATGACAGGGCACCTGGAAGCCCCGCACATGGCTGCGTGGACACTGCCATGTCACCTTCCTGTGACTCGCTGGAAGGCTGCAGTTGTACCTAGCTCATGTGGTGCCAAAGCTGGGGCGTAGGGGCTGAAGATGCAGGAGGCACCAGGACACCAGGGCATGGCCTTGCCTGAGGGCGTCGCCTGGCACATGGCCTTCCTTGGCAGAGTCCACTGCAGACTCGGAGGAGCCAGCAGGTGCAGCGGCCAGCAGACGTGGCCCGGCTTGTCCAGCTCGTCATCTCCGGCCGTCGCCAGGTGCCTCCCCTCCAGCCAAAGGCTTCACTCTGGGTGTCCACTGCAGACACAGCCTGGACTCCCTCAGTACATATCCGCCAAGGAGGTCACCTGAAGCGATCGCTCCAGTTCGCTCTTGCTGGTGCGTTTCCAGGGGTGGAATAACACCCTTCGTGTCTTCTCAGTCATGAGGAAACCGTTGTCACTGAATCGCCCGGGGATTCCTCCGACGTCCAGCCAGACAAAGGGAGCGACCGCTGAGGTTTCCAGATCAAAAGCAAACGTGTCAGCTTGCTGGGAGATGACGGCCTGGACAAAAGATAAAGGAAGTGAAGGACGAGGCGGGGCCCTCGGGGACAGTCGGGTGCATGCCTGCACCCTGCGGAAGGCAGATGCTCCGTGCAAAGCACCCGACACTGAGCAGTACGTGGAAACTGCCCGCGGCTCTGGAAAATTGCCAAAGTATGGTCTCAAACCAATGACAGCCTCTAATTACTTAAAAAGAATTCACAAGAAGTTCAACGCTTTCTTTTTCTTTTTTTAGGGAGAGATTTTTGCCATAAAGTCTGGGGGACACTGCCATGTCACCTTCTTCTCTATACAGTCTCTGGTGGGCACGTGCTCACCAGAGAGACAGAGACAGAGAGAGACAGAAAGTGAGAAATCACCACACCACCACCCCTGCCCCAGGGCCACGCTGCAATCCCTTTTCCTCTTGGGATTTTTGGGCATGCACACACATGTGCTTGGTGAGAGCTTTAAGTCACCGGGCTCGGGACTCAAACCATGGTCGATTACATGGGAGTCCAGCGACGTAATCCTTATGCCATCTGCTGGTCCCAAAGCTCAATGCTTTCTTTCATTTTTCTCAGAGTGTCCTGAAGAGCAGACATTTCTGCATCAGGGCTGGGCGGCTCTGCCGACTTGCTCCGAACGTGTCTGGACCCAGCGGCAGAACACTGAAGAGGGTACGATCAGTCTTTGGCGAAGATCCAGCCCACAGAGCCTGCCGGCATTTCGAGAGCTCCACATCCGGGCTGCTCTCTCTGCTGCTCAGTGTAGCACAGTCACGTGGTTAGCTTTTTTTATTTGCCAGAAGGCGCGTGCACTTGCCGGAGAGACACGGAGAGAGACAGTGCGGAAGTACCCCGTGGGGCATAGGCACCCTGCTGTATTTCCTCTTCAGGGCTTGGGAACACGCATGCACCTGGCATACTTCATAAGCTGCCGGGTCCACGGGTAGCGCGTGGTCAGCCACGTGGGATCCAGCCGCCTTTACCACCACGCCACTGGCTGCCCCACGCCAAACCTTTATTAAGCTTAAAATAAAAGCTGGCTGTTCTCTCATGGCCTTGCTTCCAAGATGACGAATAAGGAACCACGACCGGGCCAGAAAGGGCCTTGGCCACGTGCAGCCCATTTTCTGTACAAACTGCACCCGACACATGCCCAAGGACAAGGCTACAAAGGTCATCGCTCAGGGCCAGTAAGTGGCGTGGTAGGTAAGGCACTGGATTCCCACCTGTCTGAGTGCAGTTCAAATCCCAGACCAGGAGGCTTGAAAATCATGCTGGGCAAATGTGCGTGCATGCCCAAAATCCAGACAGGAGAACGGAGGAGAGGGGACTGTGGCACGGCCATCCCCCGGGGGGGTGGTTCCTTACTTTCCCTCTCTCTGTCTCTCTGAGTGCATGTGTCCTGTGGCAAAAACCTTAAAAGAAGGAAAGAAATCTGTCACTGAAAACGTGGGGCTGCAGCCCTCGGGCACATCTCCAAAGCACACACTTGATGCCCATGTGCCCCCCAGGCTGTGTGTGGAGCCACGTCACCGTGTGAGCATGCCATTCAGGGCTCGGTAGTCGGGACCCGGGCTCGGGAAGCTCAGGAGGACCGAACACCCCACCCGGATTCAGACCCCTGGGCACTGCCCCTCACCCTCCCCCGAAGCCCCTGTGAGGAGCTGAGTCTTTAAGGACAGAAGAACTGTCCTCAGGGGTAAAAGTAAAATGCGAATTATACTTTTAGAAAATGTTGTCTACCATCATTATTATTATCAGTGCTTCTCCTTAGGTAGGAGAAATGTCACCGAAGTCCCTGTGAGCTAGGACAAAGAAAGAAGCCCTACTGGTCTTCAGGTAACAAAGGCCTAGCAAAAGACAAAAAGCTGCTTTTCTGAATCGTAAGTTTAGGGCCAGCCCCAGGGCACAGTGGTCAAGCTCTGTGCACTGAGCGAGGTCCTGCAGGCTGACCGCAGCTCAGGGCCCAGACCCAGCGGCCCTGAGACACGCCAGGCACAGGGAGAGCCCAAGTCCCGACAGGGCGGGGAATGGAGGAAGGGCAGGGCTGTAGCGTGACCACGTCCACTAGGGGGAGCTTTCTCCCCGTTTCTCTCCGGTGAGTTTAGGTGTCCTCTGGCAATGAAAAAAAAAAATCTTAACTTTAGAGACAACAAATCTGTCTGGTATATATTTTGTTTTGTTTTGCTTTGCTTTCTTCTGGGAAAAAAATATGAGTGTATGCCATGTCCTTCATGTTTATTCTATGTCAGTTGTTACACTGGATGGTCAGAAAAGCCATAATGTATGTTTAGTTTTTTATGCAAAAATGCATCGTGACTTTTCTGATGACCCAATAAATAACTTAGATTTCATTATATGAATATTTCACTATAATTTTGGAAAGTAATTATGTTTTCAATTGTTAAGCCCCTTAAAATAAAACACAAGTAGTAGGTCTTTGTGTATGATTATTTCCAAAGGTTTAAGAAGTCTTTCTCAGTGAAGTAAAAGTGTAAAAGAAATTTAAAATTTGCTAAAAACAGTGAATATTTCTAGAAAAAAATTTCATTTCTATTTGTCGTGGAAAAGGAAAACTTTCAGTCAGATTTCGGATTTTCTCTCTGCACCATTTTTACAGTAACATATCCTGATCATTCTATCTTCTGTCCTTAGCAATTACAAACAGTTAGTTTCTGAGCTACTGTAACACAGTAAATCAGAGGGAGTAGAGTGGCCATGAAAAACTCGACTTCAGGACTCAGAGTGCGTCCACAGGCCCCCCAGGCTTCCCCGCTCCAGGGCCGAGAGAGCCAGGGCCAGGTGCGCTCGGACACGGTGACTTGGGGATCCTCTCTGGTTGCTGCCCCAGCCCCCTGGAAAGGGTGATAGGACAGCGCACGGGGAGTAGCCGAAACAGACAAGCCCCTAATTAGAAATAGCAGCGATCTGGGGCTCTGCTCCTGCTGGGAAGGAGCCCATCCTCCCGGGCACAGGAAAACTGGGTCCCCATGGAACGACGGGCAGACGGCAGATGGCATGGCTGGCCCACGCAGCACCCCCAGGCCACGGCACCCCCAGGCCACGGTTGCCCCAGCCCACGGCACTTACAGTGATACGGGCCTTGCGGAGTCCCACGGCCTCCTTCAGCGAGGACAGGAAGTGGTAGTTGACCGGACTCAGGAGGCCCCCGTCTGCTGAGAGGAAGAAGGAGACCACACAGCCTCCCCGCGTGCAGCCCCCACATCTCCTGAGCAGCGCGGGCACTGGCTCCCGATAGAGGACAGCCGCCTTCCCTGCTCCCATCACGAGACGCTCGGTCGCCCGCGAGCACAGGGGCTTCAGCGAGCTCCACGCGTGGACTCTCACCTGGGGACAAGCGGGAGGAAAGCCAGTGTCTCAGTGGGTGTTTTCTGAGAGGTTTGATTTGTTTTGTTTGTGTCTTTTTTTTTTTTTGCTACAGGCTGGAGAGACAGAGACAGCGAGAAATCACCCCCAGGGGGTTGGCCACGCTACAATCCCTTCTCTTCCATTCTCCTCTCGGGATCTTGGGCACGCACGCACATGCGCCTGGTGAGAGTTTAAAGCCACCGTGTCTGAGACTTGAACTGTAGTCGTCCATGTGGGAGTCCAGCTTTGACACTGCTCTGCCCTCTGCTGGCCCCGTCAGTGGATGTTTTCTCAGAGAGTAATGGTAACCGTAGCTGAAGGTCAGAACTGCGGACTGGCTGAGACTCAGACCTGAGTTTCAACGCCAGCCCCACTAAGTACTAGCTATGTGACCAAGTTACTCGCCCTCCTGTCTCCTTGTCCTCACGCAGCGATGGCCACAACAGCATAGCCATCGCAGGCTGCCGTGAGAAGTCAGAAAGCGAGCCTGGATCGCCGAGATCATCCTGAATCATGACCTACTGCCGTGTCATGACCGGCCCCCAAAGCCACCGAGACACTGAGCTTCTACCTTCCTTCTTTTAGAATTATTCCTTTATTCTATTTACCATTATTGTTATTTGTAATTTGACCAGAGTGAGACACACACAGAGAGAGAAAGTGAGAAAGCAAGCCGCCAGGTCCAGGACTCAAACCGTGGTCAGCCATGGGAAGTCCAGCACCTTTATCCACCACGCCACCTGCCAGCCCCTTTCTACCTTCTTTTCACATGAACTTGTTTTAAAAACAAGTTTATTTTTCCAAATACCTTCCTGCACAGCTCTGCTGACTTACTACCATACCATTGTTTGACCATTTCTTTTTGTAATGCTTGGGCTATTTCCAGTTTCTCACGGTTACAACCAACCAAACATTGAAATGGCACTTACAGTTTATGCAATTAGCTTTTATGTTAATCATCACTCACAGAAATCCTTTAGGAAGACAGGCTGGCATCATTTTACGCATATGTAAGTTGAGTCTCAGACATTGGGTTTGGGTTGGGGTCTTGTAATAAATGTCAGCGTTTTAAACTGAATCGGGTATGTGTACGCTGACTCCAAAGAGAGCCCTTTTTCTGCTCCAGGAACTAAAGCCACTTTGATACAAATTCATTAGTCTTTGATTCCTTCCCCCAAATATAACCAAACACCTAAAAAAACCCTACAAATCTCCCCCAAAAAGTCCAAGCGACTCACCGTGAGCGTCACCCTGCAGTCCGAGTGGAGGTCCGACACGCCCGAGACGTAGAACACATTCTGATCCTCGAAGCCGACCGGCAACAGCGGAGCGAAGAAACGTCGCGCGAAGTAATGGAGCATTTTCCACTTCCCTCCGTACTCTGGGGACAGGAAGAGAGTTAGCAGCTAGGCGGGGCAGCTGTCCACACGCCTGCCCCAACTCCAGGGAGCGAGTGTGAGGCAGAGTCCACGCGAGGGGTGCCCAGGTGTGCTCAGGCCTTGCAGCATTTGGGCTGTTACACCAGGTCACTTGGTCACAGGAGGAAATGGAGGCTCCATCGGGCGATTCAAGGCTGCGCGGAGCCCAGACCCACACCCCCTCACTGCCACCTCCCACACGCAGTCCTGATTCCAGGACTCAGCACCCTGGGGGGCCTGTCACCACACGTGCAGGAGAACGGCAGCATGGACAGGGAGCTCAGTGACAAGCCACACTTGGACAGGGGCTGGCACAGCAGGAAAGCGCAGGCTGTCCCTCCAGGGAAGGTTCTGGGTTCACACTTGGAGGCCTCCCTGAGCCCTCCAGCACATACATCCCCGACCCAGGGCAGGGTGGGCATGTGGGCAGGCCCACGACATCAGGACCCCGTGGGAGGCCTGATGTCTGTCTGTGTGTCTCTCTTGTTCATGGAAGAAATGAATAATTAAACAACAAAAAAGAGTTGCTTGGAATTGAAAGTCTCCTGGGTAAGAAACCCTCTGAGCAAACCCAGTAACCACTACACAAATACGGCTGGCAGAGCCGGGCGGAGGAAAACGTCCAAACCAATTCCTGACAGTTCCACAGATACGATTAGAAGTCACTGTCCTTGATGCCTGCATCCACAAACTTAAAATTCTTTCAGCGTCTTCCTTTTTTCAACATTCCTCAATTTCCCAAGAAAGACCCTTCCCCAGGAAGCACTTCTGAACCCGAGACCTGAGCAAGCCAGCGCGCGGCCAGGATACGCAGGACGAATGTCAGGATGGAGGAATACGGTCTTGACGTTCAGATAAAACCCATTTCTTTCGAGTTCTGCAAAATCTCAACTCTCGGCACTGCTCTCCCCGCCCTTGGGACAGTACCGGGTGAGCAGGTGCTGTGGCCAGGCCTTTCCTGCTGGGGCCACATGGAGTGAGCGAGAAGTCGTATTTGGAGGGTTTTCTCGTCAGGGAAGGTGGCTCGGGTCCAAGGTGCCCTACGCACGCTCACCCGTGGCAGCCATTAAAGGGGAAGGACCTGAAACGTGTGGTTCCAGAGATCAAGAAATTGAGGCGACCAGTCTCACTGACCCACAGCCTCTGTGGCTGGTCAGTAACAGGGTCTGGGAACCGACATGACAGCGCCTGATGGGCGGAAAGTGCTCGCTCCTTCTGCTCTGCTGGAAGCTTGCAACGGTTGATGTCTATGAACCGCGAAAAATGCCCAGGTGGATTTTTATATTTGCAAAGTTATAACTCTAAGTTAGACTAACTGAAAAACAAATACAATGTATTCATTTATTTATTTTAGAGAATTATTTTGCTATAGGGCGTGTGCGCTCGTTGGAGAGACAGAAACAGAGAGATAGAAAGCAAGAAATCACCCCCCAGGGAGATGGCCATGCTGCAATCCCTTCTCCTCCATTCTCCTCTCAGGATCTTGGACACGCACACACTCGTGCCCAGCATGAGTTTTAGGCCACAGAGTCCATGACTTGAACTGTAGTCAACTATATGGGAGTCCAGTGACATAACCACTATGCCATCTGCTGGCCCCAAATATATGTTAAAACGTACAGACTCTAAGTACTCATTGGTCCCTTCCAAATATCAGATGTCAGGTGACAAGAGAAGACTCACACCTCCCCATGGACACGAGGATAAGCAGTGGGTTCACAGAGCCACCAACTAGTTAAACACGGGCTCCACGGCTGCCCAGGGCAGGAGCAGGTACGGCATGCCCTGTCACGGCTGCTCCCTGCCACCTGTTTTCTCTAACAAGTGCCGGGATGCAGCCAGGGCTGGGAAAACAGCCAGCGTCTGCTTTGCGACCATTCTCTCTGTGAGCGGTCACCTACCCTTCCTGAAGACCACCACCTGCATAACCACTTCCTTTATGGAAGATGTACAAACATTGAGGTAGTTTCTTCACGCAAACTCGGCTTCAGCAATATCCAGCCTCGTCCAGAGACAGGAAGCAGGTCGGCGTCCCCATCTCTGCAAAATCTCCCCATCCACTTTTTCAGCACCCCAGAAGGCCGCCCCCATGGTCTACCCCACTCACACTCTGGGTTCTTTTATCTAGCCGGTGTCAATAGTTTGATCAGGGGGAATCAGCAGTTAGCGTAATGGCTATGTCGCTGGACTCCCACGTAGTCGACCGTGGTTCGTGTCCCGGACCCGGTGGCTTAAAACTCACGCCGGGCACATGTGCGTGCGTGCCCAAGATCCCGAGAGGAGAATGGAGGAGAAGGGATTGCGGCATGACCATCCCCCCTGGGGGGTGATTTCTCGCTTTCTGTCTCTCTGTCTCTGTCTGTCTGTCTGGCGAGCGCACGCGCCCTACAGTGAAAATCTCTCAAAAAAAAAAAAATAGTTTGATCAGGGAAACTTGCTCAAAAACCCAATTCCCTGGCAGAATCCCCACCTGGCACTAAGGAACTACATGTGGGATAAACTCTCAGACTTGCGGTCACAGCCCATTTAAGAACCTTTTTACTTTATAACCTTGCCTTATTTTTGACCTGAAACTATTGTTCACATTTTTTTTAATTAGCAAGCTACCGGGTCTGGGACTCGAACCTCAGTCAACCATGTGAGAGTCCAGTGCCCCAACCACATGCTGGCCCCTATTGTTCATTAACTAAACTTTGTTTCAGATCACCTCTAGTGGAGGCCAAAGACTCACTATCGTCCCTTACGTTTTCTTAATGAGCTAAACTAGATGGCCCGTTCAAACTGCAAAGTCCACACGGCCTCACTGCCAGTCGGGCTGCATCCGTGGTTACAGTGACCCCTCCTGTTTGGACTTCAGAATCCACACTCTTTTCCCAAGAGATAAACAAGGCACAACAAGGATGACCTTTTGGACTGCCGGGGAGTCCAAGAAAGGCCACTTCAGCACTTCATGGGGCCACTCCTCCACCAGAAGAAGAAAGGGGGCCTTCATCCATGCTCCTCTGGCCCTGGAAAGCCCACTCAAGTAAACTCAAAATTGTGCACGATAACGATACGACACGTGGCCGAGACCTCTGCACATGAGCCCGCCCCTCCATACCTGCTGTCCTGACCTCACACAACCCAGACGGGGCAGTCAGCTGCCTCGAGGGCTCACGGCAGGCCGTGGACGCACGTGGTGCTGTCGTGCGTGGACCAGCTGGAGGAGAGCCGTGGTTCTGCTCCAATCCCGCGGGCTCCGGGATGTCTGCGCTTTCTCTTACTCACACAAGGGACACACAATACTTACCCAGGGAGGCCCAGGAGGGGGCCTGCCAGATGTCATTCAGCTGCCAGTAAAGGGCCCCCATGGTGTGGCCCTCGCCTCGCACGATCTCGCTGCGGCTGCGGCGGTAGAACTCGGTTTCGGTTTTGACGCACTGGGCCTGCATCACCTGATCCAGGGAAACGCCCACGCACAGGGGTCACTGTTTGATGTAGGCTGTCTATGTCAAATTTGATTATTTTTTAATTAGATCAATTTGGGAATCTGGTTAGCATCGGGAATGCCGTAATTATCCTAGACCTGAAACTCGCCCCAGAGCACGAGAGGAGCTGCTGTCTAAGGGCGAGTGTGTCTGGGAGGCCTGGCACCACGGTTGTCAAAACGACGTGTGGCTAAGGACACAGGCTCGTGTAAAGGGCTCTTCGCAAATGACAGTGAGGGCAATAAGGGAAACAAAGATGATTTCTGCAGAGCAAATACATATGTAGTCACATACATGTTTTTTCAATGATGGATTTTGCTAATTCAGCATTGGCATTTTTTAGAGATATTTTTGCTATAGGGCATGTGTGCTCGCTCAAGAGACAGACAGAAAGTGAGAAATCACCCCCTAGGGGATGGCCACGCCACAGTCCACCCCCTAGGGGATGGCCACGCCACAGTCCCTGCGCCTCCAGTCTCCTCTGGGGATCTTTGGCACACATGCACACATGCCCAGCATGGGTTTCCAGCCTCCGGGTCCAGGACTCAAACCACAGTTGGTCATGTGGGAGTCCAGAGACATAACCATTATGCTATTTTTTTTAAGAAAAAAATTACTTTAAATTCTATAGGAAAAATAACCTTGTTATGATAAGTCCAATATAATTTAATTCCTTTTTTTGTTCCTGTTTTTCTTTTTAATTTTTTTAATTGCCAAAGGGCATGTGTGCTCACCAGAGAGAGACAGAGGAACAGAGGCAGAGAGAGAGAAAGCATCCTGCCAGGGGGTGTGGCCTCTCTGCAACCCCTTCTCCTCCATTTCTCCGTCCTATTGGAACTGTGAACACGCACACACACACACACACACACACACACACACACACACACACACATACGCCTGATGGGTTTTTCAACCTCTGGGGCCGGGATTCAAACAGTGGTCGGCCACATGAGATCTGGCCCCATTAAGCGACAGTGCTGGCCCAAATGGCTTTTCCATCATGATTTTCGGATAACGTAAGGTCTCTTACAAAAGCAGTCCCTTCACTCCAACACAACGGAGAAAAAAACACAGCAACGAGTGAATTTGGTTCTTGTTGAAGAGACGCGACACGACTTCAGGCTGACTCCAGACCCTATGACTGCGATCGCGTGGGAAGGCAGCCTTAACACTGCTGTTCGGACGCCTGAGCCACAGAGGAGGCCCGTGAAGGGCTGTCAAAGGGAACCCGGGCAGGTGGTCAGAGCCGCAAGGGCTTGTCAAAGAACAGCGAGGCCTTGGAGCGTGGTCTGAACTTTCACAGAGGAGGAAAAGGTCGGCGTATATGTGGCCACGAGAAGACTATGCCCGATGCCGTCCTATAAAACTGGAAATGTTCGGATAAAGGTGAGACCTTTCCTATAGGTAGGCTGGCTAGTGAGGACGTCATCGATAAGGTTATGACTCAGAAGAGCCAGCGCCGTAAAGGTCTAGAAGGATGAAGCAAGAAGAAACTGGTCATTCAGTCAATAGTAAATGTCCTAACCACCTACAGTATGTGCTACGGGCTGGAACGGGAAGCACCTCTCTCAGCAAAACAGATAGAGCCCACCTTCCTGGGGCTTATCAGTGTGTATGGAAGACAGGCCTTAAGCAAAGAATCACATAAATAGGTATAAACTTTTAACAGTAATAAACAGGGGGCCGGATGGTGGCACAGAATGAACCTTGCTCTGCAAGGCAGATTCACATGAGAAGGTTACTGGTTCGAATCCAGGGGCCTTCTGGGTATACCACAGAATGAACGTGCCCATGTTCTGGGCTCACCGAGGCTGGGGCAGACCACAGCGTCAGAACCTGGCTGGGGGTGCATTGTATGTCTCTCTCTCTCTCCCACTCAGAGCATAAAGAAATCAACATTAACAACAAAACAGTAATAAGTACTCAGAAGGAAAGGTACCCAATGGTATGAGCGAGGCAGTAAGGTCACGCACCTGGTTGAGGAGTGAGTTTGGGCCTAAGAGAAGAAGGAAGGAAAAAAGAGAGAAGGCAGAACCTTCCAGCCAGAGAGGGCACTGTAGTGAGAGGAAAACGCAGTAGGTCAGGAAGAAAGTCAGAGAAAATGTTTATGCTAGAGGGTGACATGATCAGATCAGCAATGCTGAAAGGTGACTGCTGCTGAGTAGAGAAGAGATGGCAAGGGGCCTACGGCACCATTTAGAAGGCGATTAAAACCTTCCAGCAAGGGCGGGCCCATGATCTAGGGTTAAGGGAGCCAGATCCCAAAAGGCCACCTATGGGATTGAGTCTCTGCTCCAGCAGCTTGAAAATGCTCAAAATCTAACGGATGGAGAAGTGGAAGAAGGGCTGCAGCATGAGTGCACCCCATGGGGGTGCTTTCTCCCTCTCCCTGTCTCCGTTCCTCTCTGGCGATTGCTCACACCCTTCAAAATGAATGAATGAATGAATAATAAAAATCTTCCAGGCAAGAGATGCAGTTAGACTTGGAATATCTAACCAAGTTCCCTGTAAAAACATCAGTTCTGTCTGAACTCAACGAAAGAAAGAGATTCATCTACTTCTAGGCCTAGATAGCTAGGAGCAAAGGAATGAAGCATTCGCTTGTTTATTGACCTTCTAGAAAGTTCAGAGAAGATAAGGGAGCCGAGAAGTAAAATCTCGGTGGAGACAGGTCTGGGGCTACACTGCTCATTCATCTATGCCCTCCAAAGGTTCTTACTTCACAGCGGCATGGAAAATGAACCAGACATTTGTGTTAAAGATCTGACAATACCGGAACTCATGTAAATCAGCCTGACCCACCATCAAACAAGCTCACAGGGTCGACAGGCACAAAATGAAGCCCGACAGCCCGTCACTGCGGCTCACACACGCCAGGCCCTGCATGACCAGAAGCCTCTGCCCTCATCCTGAGAGTCCTGAAAAGTCCGCTATTGCGTTACGGACTGGAGTGAGGGGACTGCTGGACAAGAAAGGCTCAAGTCTGCATTACTGTGAGTACAAAAGAGACGAGGCCTGGCCCCACCACTGCGGACGCACTGGCCCAGCCCAACAGGCCCTGCTCGGACCACGGATGCAACCCCGGTGGACACCCCAGCTGGGATGCCTGCTGACGTTTCTAGAACTCCCAGGACCCAGGGTGTCCCCAGACACCGAGCCAGTCCTAGTATGGCAGAGGCCAACAACCACACAGCACTCTAACAGTACCCCTTACGGACTCGCCCAGACGAGGCTCAGCCTTGACTCCAAAGGCGCGTGGAGGAAG